GGGAAAAAAAAAAAAAAAAAAAAAAAAAAAAAAAAAAAAAAAAACCACATCATAGTAAAACCAATACCTTCTCAGCTTCGCATCGAAGCTAAAAAGTGACGAAAAATAATATTCTGAATATTATAATCGAATACCTTGTATAATGGATGAATACTCTGTATATTTGTTTGAGGTCACTGAATCTAAATTTAATATTAATTTTGAAATAATCATAATTAGCTTAAAAGCAGCCCTGATGACAATTATTAAGTTATAAATTGCGTGTATTGAATAAATGATAATTTTGATCAAGTATTATGTTTTTAAAGCAGCTAATTTTTACCAAAATATTTTCAGTGAACATTGGGCTATTTAATAATATAGTTATCAACGTGTTACTCGATGGATAAATAACATAAATATATGCATATGTTTATAACTTTTAATAGGGAAATGTTAATATAAATAGACATATTAATTGTTACATAAAAGCTCATGATAAATAGAACATCATTAATAAGTTATTAAGCACTACTTATATGTAGTATAGTGTTATCTAGTACTGCAAAGATTCAATTTTTGTATTTTTTGGTCACACTGTGAGGTTTAAATTGATAAAAATGACGGCAGCTTTTTAATAATTTTTCATTTTATTCAATTTAATCACTTTTTTATAAATCAATAAATTATTTTACAAAAATAAGTTATTCTTAGTACTTTAGTATGTACAGAATTTTTATCTTTTTTTATTTTGAACCACTGTGCGTCAGTTAACTAATAATCTGATTCTTACAATATTATGCAATTTTGAACGGTGTTTTTAGTATACTAAAATCATTATTTTTAGGTTTCTGCCGTATAAAATAAATGTTTTGTGTTTCTATGCATTACAATATCTTATGCAATTTTATTTTTAAATATCTGAGAAAATGTTGTAGATAATTTTTTTGGTAATAAACTAAAGAATACTTCATTTTTTATAACATAAAACATTTAACTTCAATTGCCTTAAAAGTAGAGTTACCTCTTTTTCAGCAAACCCTTTAAGTTCTTTCAGGAAAATACTATTTGGATCATTAATTAAGTGGCACACTATTTTATTTTATTTTTAATAGCCTTAAATTTATTTTTAACAACTTCTAGTGCAGGATTATAGAAGCTCTTCTTGTCAAATTTACTTAATAAAACTAGTATACAGGGTGGCCCACCACTCACTGACAACTTAAATAACTTTTGATCCAGTTAATATTTTTAGTTGATTTTTTTTTTAAATAATAGTTATACGTTAGGTCTATAGCTATATCTCAATAATTAATTTTTTTACATTTTATTAAAAATATTAATTATTTTTAAATTTTAAATAAAATGTAAAAAAAAAATCTAAGATAGCTATTTTGTAGAGTAGAATTTAAGAAAAATTTTAGTAAAAAAATATCTTATTAATATTCAGTAGTAAATATTCTGTAGCGTTTTGAAGTTTGTGAAAATTTGAATTTTCATGTACTATTTTACGGTATTAAACATTGAAATACGTATTGAGAAAAGGACAGAAGAAAACGCTATCTTTTCATGATTACTGTGTATACATATGATGATAGTGTGTATACATTACAAACTTGGCATTAATACCATGATAAGAAATTAGATAAGGCAATTATTACTTATCACTCTCATTCAAAAGTATATTGAAAAGATAGCGTTTTCTTCTGTCCTTTTCTCAATATGTATTTCAATGTTTAATACCGTAAAATAGTACATGAAAATTTAAATATTTACAAACTTCAAAACGCTACAGAATATTTACTACTGAATATTAATAAGATATTTTTTTACTAAAATTTTTCTTAAATTCTACTCTACAAAATAGCTATCTTAGATTTTTTTTTTACATTTTATTTAAAATTTAAAAATAATTAATATTTTTAATAAAATGTAAAAAAATTAATTATTGAGATATAGCTATAGACCTAACGTATAACTATTATTTAAAAAAAAAATCAACTAAAAATATTAACTGGATCAAAAGTTATTTAAGTTGTCAGTGAGTGGTGGGCCACTCTGTATAATGCGAGTATTACAATCAATAATTATATTATATCTGTTTTTGGTCTTAGGGTACTTATCCTCAGATATAACGGTGAGGGAGGGTTTATAAGAACATCAGTGGACACATGATTGTAGGTAACAATTAAATTAAGAGCAGTTTTCCGTTTATTCAGTAAAGCTTTAAGTATAATTAAATTATACAATTTAATTAAAATTGGTAATGTAATCACAGATTAATAGTTAGACGGCTGATAAAGAGATTTGGGTGAGTACCACCTATTTGGAACAAAGTACGTTACC